CCAAATAGAAAAAAAAAAAAAAAAAAACGTGTAGATGAAGTTACAATTATTGACAATATTAAATATTAGATCAAATTATAAATTTGGTTTCCAAAAAAAAAGAGTAAAATTTCGTTCCTAAAGTTCGATAAAAATTCATAAGTAGTTTCAGGCGTTAGAAGTCACTAACGGGTAGTTCCAAACGTAACGAATTGAATACGTGATATTAGAATGCACTATTCGACTTTTAACGTTAACGCTACTTACGAGGTTTATCAAATGATAGAGACAAAATTCTAACTTCTAAAACTACGCTGAGAAAATAAAACCTAGGACCAAATTTGTCATTCCTTTGCTCATAATCTGCAAACTTTTTCCCTTTCTATATATATATATATATATATATATATATGTATATATGTATGTATATATATAGCTTACAATCCTCTATGATTTTGATACAACCTGACATAAAACAGCAACTCATCTATATGCAAAAGCTCCCCCTTTATACAGATTTTGAGCTTCCCAAATCCCATAAACTGCTTTACATAAACAGAATATATATATATATATATATATATATATATATACATATACATACATAGACAGTCAAACACAGAGATTAATTAAGTTTCTTTGTGTTTGGTCTTATGGGTTCTTTTATTTATAGAGTTGAGTTTTGTGTTGAGATTTTGTACCTAGCTTGAAGTTGAAGGAAGGGGGCAGTTCCAACTAAGCAACTCTTCGATCATTTGCATTGCAATTCTGTCTTCTTCATCAATCCCATTTTGGCGGCCTTCAGCTTCCTGGCTTGCAGGTTCGGGCAACGGGGACAGCGACATCGACGGCGGCGGTGTCTCCTTCTTTCCTAACTCAATCCTCATGACCCAATCGGAGGCTGCTCGAGTGCCTGCACGCTTCTGCCAGACACCGATGTGGGCATTGTCACTGTCGAGTCGCAGGCATGTCAAGGAGGGAGAAGGGTTCTTGCAGCACTTCCTGAGCTTTGTGCTGAGTAGCTCTGAAAGTGCTTTTGGGGACAATGGAGAAGCCCCATGGCCATGGCTGGCTTCTTCAGATCGGTCTTTCGATGCAGGGAAATTGGTCTTGGCGTTTTGGCCGTTCATCAAGATGGATGCTTGATCATATGCTCGTGCTGCATCCTCTGCGGTGTCGAATGTCCCTAGCCACACCCTTCTTTTCCTACAAAGAAAAACACATGAACAATATAAGGATGTGCGCTCATGATGTAATGTAGTTCCAAATCACAACCAAGAACACATAGATACGCATGCCAACGCCATGGCCGCTCAGCTTCTTTCAGGCATATCAACAAACAGGTTATGGGCACCAGACAAAACATGGGATTTCAGAGCTTTTGTGAACCAAAACAACACAAGCAATAACACGCATATTTACAACAACAATGAAGTTTAAAAATCCATGCCGCCATCGCCAGGTCTCTTTCAGGCAAATCATCAAACAGGTTATGGGCGCCAGACAAAACATGGGATTTCAGAGCATTTCTGAACCAAAACAACACAAGCAAGAACACACATATTTACAACAACAATGAGGTTTAAAAATCCATGGCGCCACCGCCAGGTCTCTTTCAGGCAAATCATCAAACAGGTTATGGGCGCCAGACAAAAAATGGTTATACAGAGCATTTTTAAACCAACAAACCCGATCAACGGCGCATATATTTATAGCAGAAGAACCAAAAAAACGTAATGAAAAGGGGATTTTACAGCAATGGGTGGCGGATTTCTGACACCCACGAGCCCCACTGCCGCTGCCTAACTCCCCTGAACTTCCTCGAATAAACCATAACTCTAGAGAGAGAAACACAGAAGTTTCAGACTCTTCAACGAAAAGGCAAACAAAAAAAACAGGTTAGAGCGTTGTAAAAACGTACAGAAAGCAATAATTTCATCGATTTATATAGAGGCGTCGGTGGGAATTGGAAAGTCTTCTTCTCTGAGAAGAGTACTTTTCTTAATGGGGTTCGCCATTAAAATCTTTCACCTGCTCAACCATGTAAGATCCACGGACGCAGCTTCATAACAACCACAATTTAATGAGACTCATCGTTGCAATTGCAATTCCAATTCCCTCTCTCTCCCTCTCTCCCTCTCTCCCTCTCTCACATTCTGCAGCTTTTCTTTAATGGCGGATCGAATTGGAACCATCAAAACTTCTATTGTCTGCTATCCAAAAAGAAGTTTCATTAAATTTGACTTCTGAGCTTTGAGGAAATGGAAAAATGTGGACGAAATTTGCAGGTTCAGGTCATAAAGCGCCATTTATGATCCCACTGAGGAAGATGGAGAGTTTGAATTGAATAAGGGCCCGTTTGCCTATTAACTCATTTCAAACAAAAAGGTAATAAATATTATTAAAAAAAAAAAACAAAAAACAACAGCCCTTACCGCTCTCATCCCATTTATAACAGTTAACTCCATTGCTATTGCTCCATTTGTAATAGTTAAGTTCATCTCTACTATCCCTTTTTGCTGTATTGCCACCAGTTTCACAGTTTTAAAACATATCTGCTATGAAGATCTTAGCACCTCTTAATACAAAATGTTTCTTAATTTTTTTTAAGCTAATTTGGAGTTTTTTTTTTCCTTCACATATATTTTAAACGGATAATTTCCATTTTTAAAAAATGAAAAATAATAAATAAATAAATAAATATATATATATATATATATATATATAATAACAAAATAATCTATAGAGTGGGGATAGACAAATTTTCGTAAATATATTAACCGTAAAAGAATTTTAGAATTTTTTTATAAAGGTAAAATATGTAATTTTATAATTTCACGGGCTTATTGGTAATTACAATTATTTCTCTTGGCCCATCTAATATTTAGAAACAAATAAATAAATAAATAAAAGGCCTTTTTTTGTGTGAAGTTCAGTCATTCTGGTCCAGCCCAACAAGGCCCATCATAAAGCGAACTCATTGCAGCATATTGCCCCATTTTTTAATTTACCTTTTATAATTTATCATTTAATTCCTCTACAAATTTATTTCTTTTCAATATATTATTTTTGGATTTTGGCCCCTAAACTTACATTAAATTACGCTTTTGTCCATGTTGAGCTTTCCTTAATTTATAGGGTAAATTCTTAAATAACATTATGGTGGCTTGTATTTTTAAGTCACATATATTGAGAATAAACTTAAATTATTTTATTAATTACAAATAAAAACCTATTACCAATAATAATAAAACACAATATTTAAAGAATAACAACCAAAATTGAATAAACATTTTAATTTTAAAATTTTTTTTTTTAAGTTTTTTTTTTTTATAAGATAAGATGAATTTTTAAAAATTTTAAAAGTTGAAGAGTATTATTGAAATAATTTTCGAGTTAATTAAATTAGTGACTTCAATGAAGTTTACATCTCAACCTTATATTTTTTTAGTTAGGTTGAGTCGTTAAATTATTCATTTTTTTTAATTATTATTTTAAAAAAAAATAAACTTATTCACATTACTTAATTAAAATATTAAATTTTCACTCACGTACGTTACAAATTTTAGATATTTTTCATATATTCGATAAAAAAAGTCTCAACCAGCCAATCGAATTATAGTTTGAGTTGAATAATCGATTATTCAGCTCATCCAGACATACGAACACTCCTATGAATACACGTTATTTTTATGTTTTTTTTAATAATTTACTTTTTCAATATTTTCATTTCACCCACGTGTTCATATATAAATTGTAGTGCATTTATCCCTTAAGAAAAACGTGGGCTTCAAAATTAAATAGAAGAGAAAAAAAAGGACAAAACGTGGGAAATTGTTTTTTTTGTTTTTTTTTTTTAATGGACGAAAATGAAAACGTGGGAGGCGAATGTAAAAAGTCAAATATGCCGGTTAAGCTTATCACTAAATTAAATAAATTAAAAAATATTAATATTTGGTTGGTTATTCTCCCACCCCACACCGTACTTCTAAATTATATATATTTTTTTAACTGTACGGAAAATAAATTTTATTTTTAAAATTCAAATTTAGCGATATTATGACTATTTAAAACTAATTAAAATATTTTAATTAGTTTGCAAATTGGCTCATTTAAAAATATAATTTTTTATTAAATAAAAATAAATTCATTTTGAAAATCTATTTTAATTTTAAAAAATCAAATATTTGAAAAAGGAAAAGAGGTGACTCGAACTAGTTAGTCAAAATAAAAAATTAAAAGAATCTATGAAAAATTAAGAATTCGGCCGAAAATAAGGACCAAAATGTGCTCCAGATCGATCATTAATATCAATACAAATAATTCAAAGGGTCTTACGAGTCCAATTTCAAATTCAAGCGTCAAATTTCAAATTAGACTAAGAATAATATTCTAAAGTTTAGACTTTTAAAATATTAAAATATAATAATTAATATATATATATATATATATATATATATATATATATATATATATATATATATTAAAATCTCTTAATTTAAGCCGTTTCATGTGGTGCATTGTAGTGTTGACCAAGAATTGGTCAAAACGGGGCAGATGAATGAATCTGTATCCGCATTGGGGTGAAATTACAATTAAGCAAAAGTAGCGGGGTCTTTTTCTAATAATTACAAGGGCCTTTTATTAATTAATTATTATTTTTTAATTACTCTCCAGACCCGAGACCTGTCCCTAAAGCACGATAATTGTTTTACTTTAAGTAGCAATTATTTTTAAAACATATTAAGTAAATTACCATTTTAGCCACTATTTTTAAAAATATTATTATTTTTATTTCTACAAATTTTTATCATGATAATTATTATTTTTTAAAATTATTTTCTTGGGATGGGTTAATTCATGGATTATGCTGGCTTCTAATCTTCATTAGCTGTAAAGGTTTAAATCTTAATCCAACTTTGATTATTTTTCCCATTCCTAGCTCGTGGAATAATGTGCCCTTTATTCTTTTTAAGAGATTTCATGTGATATGATATTTCTGTAAGTTTTTTAAAGAGAAATATGTTTAATTAAAATAAAATAATTATTTGAGGGTATTTATGTAATTTCTATTTCAATTATTAAGCTCGGGTTGATGTTGATAGTATCATGAAGTTATAAATTAACTGTGAGATTCCATATCGGGTAGAGAGGGGAATAAAACATTTCTTATAAAGATGTGAAATTTTTTCCCTAATAGACAGCATTTTAAAATATGAGCCTGATGGTGATACGTAATAAACTAAAATAAACAATATCTGCTAGCGGTGAGGTTGAGCTGTTACGAATGATATCAGAGCTAGATATCAGGCAGTGTGCCAACGATGACACTGGACCAAAAGGGGTGGACTGTGAGATTTCATATAGGGCAGAAAGAGGAACGAAACATTCCTTATAAGGATGTGAAAATATCTCCCTAATAGACGCGTTTTAAAACATGATCCTGACGATGATACGTAAGAAACTAACGGTGGGGGTTGAGTTGTTACAAATGGTATCAGAGCTAGATACCCGACGGTGTGCTAGTGATAACGCTAGGCCCAAAGGGGTGGATTGTGAGATCCCATATCGGGTGGAGGGAGGAACAGGAAGCTGCTTCCTACTAAATGCGTTTTAAAACCGTGAGGCTGACGGCAATATGTAACACACCAAAGCGAACAATATTTGCTCGCTTTAGACTTGAGCTAGACATTAACTTCGAGATGTTTTTTTTTTTTTTTTTTTTTTTTTTTAACAATGGTATTATTGGGTTTTAAATCAAGAAAGACGTTTTAAGTGAAGTGACTGTGTCATATTTTAATATGTTAATTCTCTAAGATTTAAAATTTAAAATAGATTATATTTTAATATATATATATTTTAAAAATGAATTTAAAAATTAAAAAATAATTTAAAATATGTGCCGACCAAGACTACATGTCGTCAACCGACCTAAAAAGCGGAAGACGACATAAAAAGAAGCCGAGTTTGAGTTACGGACTCCAAATCCAGGTTTTGTTCAATGAACGGCGCGTGTACGTCAAACCCTTTTTTAAATTAATTTACAAAATAAAAAATCATTAAAAAAATCAAGTTAACTCAATATAGAAACCATTGTACACTGTATTCAAAAGAAACTAGGGTACATTGAATATTTTCATCCTCATTTTAATATTATAAAAATATTAACAAAAATTTTAAAAAATGTCAAAATAATAAATAATACATTAAATTTAATTACTTCGTGAATATTTAATTATTTTTATTTAAATATAACTCGATGGATAAGACATTATTTACGTTGATTTTATTTTTTAAAAAATATATGTTTAATAATCTATTGATTAAATATTTATAATTTAAAAAAATATAAAATTGAAATTTATATATATAATATATTTTGATATTTTAAGTTAAAAAAGAACTTATTTGAGATAATAATGCTAAAATTATTATTAAAATTAAATTAATTTTGTGATATAACTTTATTGCTAATATATAATAATTTTTATA